TTGTTTTGTCCCTTGGGTCCGAGACGGGAAAGATACGCTCAAGCCACATTTTTTTGTTCAAATGACATAATTCCGGAGTCTGTAATTATTTTCATAAACATAACCCAAAAACATGCTTCTGTCACGTCATTACATATATGTTGTAATTTTTGTACGCTAAATATGAGTACAAATAGATCAAAATTACGCGAGAAAAACGTGTTTGAAAATTGATGCTATTCCCTTGTGTCAGACGTTTACTTTTTGTTCAGGGGATAAAATTCAGGACCTTATAACTTTTTTCCTCAACGTAATGTAAAAATTTGGACCCGTCACATCATTATACATATGTTGTAGTTTTTGTACGCTAAATATGAGTACCAAAAGACTAAAATTACGAGAGAAATAGGCGTCTGAAAAATGTTTATGGGATAAAATTCCGAACTTTATAACTGTTAGGTAAGAAAAATCGCCATAACTTTATAACTAATAAAGATATCACCATTATTTAAACTGTTTTATGATCATGAAGGCAACGGCTTTCAAATTAAAGCATTTCAAAGCATATCGGACTTTGTGGTATCGCTTGGTCAGATATGGCTGTTTTGTAAACTTAAATGGGTATTTAGTCGGTGCTCTGGTGTGGTTTGCTCTTTCTTTCTTGTCAAACATCTCTTGTCCTTATGTCTCCTCCTTCTTTCCTTTGTATGTTACTCTTCAGTAGTAACACCAAAGACCGGCTATACACGGTCTTTGGTAACACTTTCAATCCGATGTACTTAATTGTCACTTAATTGTGTTGCAAGAGCTGTAAAATTTTCACTAAAACTAAAACTTTTGTAAACTTTCTGTCAATCCCTTGTCTGTCTTTCTTTTTTTTAATTTCAGAAACAGTAAGTCTATATTAAATGATCTGTCTTGACCAACAAGTTTCCTGAGAAACCTATGTAGGCTACCCTGAAGTTTAAATGTGGGGGTGGGGTACCCATCTTTTTGGGTGGGTTCTCCATCTTAAAAAAAATCTTTGTGCTATGTATGTGTATTTTGCACAATCAAGAGAGATTTTTATCCACTGTCAAAACGGCCAGCCAGAAGTTTGGTCTTCCTGTGACAATCAAGCTGTTGTGTTCATTAATGTTTTATGCCTAAACTGTTCCTAGTATGTGGAAAAACATTTTGTTCCAAAGTGATGCTCAGTGATGTGAACTTTTGTGAAAGAATGACAATGTGTAATCTAAATAAACGTCAAGACAGGACTTGACAAAAACTGTTTGATCTGTGGTTTAAAAGTGTCTTTTTGACTTCTTTAGCAATGAACTGCAAGTAGTCTACATGTATTTTTAGAGTTGAGTTGAGAGTTTCCCTCACAGCATCTTTCCATATCATGCAGAGAGCGAGAGAGCGGGCGAGCAAGTGAACAAGACAAACAGACCAAGAAAGACGTAGAGAGAAGTAGAGAATGTCATGTACTGATCTGTCTTTGTCGTCTACATAATTATTAAAGATGTCAGTGCATAATGTAAGTGATCTTCAAGTCACAAGAGAACTCAAGGTTTTTTTGTTTTAAGAGATGTAAACCTTTGCATGCTTCACCAGTCACTGTCACCACAGACAAACATTTGATGGGCTGGAAGAAAACATATCAGATATGTCTGATTTTTAAAAAGTTTTTGAGAATTGTAACTTAGATTTTTAAGACTCATACTCGTAGAAAACAACAGTTATTTTGTATATCATATATCTGTAGAGCCTGTTGAACATCATAGTTTGTACTTTTACCCTGATACATTCAACCGCTTTCAATTCATTTCATTTTAGCACTTTGAAAAGTCGGTACACAACCCCTAGTTTGACAAAAGTGTGACATTCTGTTCTTTCATCGAGTTTGGTAAATGCATCTAGACGTGCTAGAAAAAATATTTTCAACAAAAAGAAGACAAAGTCAACTCATAAAAATTATAGTAAATTTCAAACACATTTATTACAATAGATAGTAATATAAGGCATACTATAGAAAAATAACAATAACAACATTTATGCAGCATTCACTTGTTCATGCCGTCATTCAAATATTTCAAATCTATAAAGTTATTGTAAGTGGCACAAGTCATTGTGAATTGATTTGAACCAGTGAAATAAATCAAACAGAATCATTTTCAACGAGTCTACCACACCTGCAAACTCAACAAACAGAATTTCAATGTCTCAAGTCAAGAGACAATTGACTACAGCGATGACAAAGATGATGATGGTGATGATGATGATAATGAAGATGAAGATTATAAGGGTCTTCTTGTAATTTTAAGCATAAGAATGTTACCTTTGCATAAATTTGCATTAGGCAGACTGGGAGTGGAAGCAGAAATCACAACAATTTACTTTTCTAAAACTGGAATAATGAAAACATATTTGTTGATAAATGTTTCTGTAGATCTCTGTCAGATAGCCTTGCTATCTCAAGTACATCCGCGACATTTGGATTGTTTTCACAAGTACACACACAATCTCTAACCTTCAAACATGTTCATCATACGCCTTATATATAACAAATCACTGAAGTAAAAGTACGTCAGAATCCTTGGAACGGTTTTCTTTGTCAAAGTCAACGTGGAACAAATTCCAACACATCAAAAATGATGATCAACTGGAAGACACAGTTGTGGTAGCACAGTCAAGTGTGCATAGTTAGCTCAGCTAAACAAAGATGAGGAGGACCTGGGTCTCAATCTCCAGTGGGGAATTTTTCCGTTATTTGGGGAGTTTTCAAAACTCTCTTCCAATTGCGGGCAGTTTGATCCTGCAGGATATGAACCAGAAATTTGGAGGTCCCACATGTTACCAAATATGCTGAAAGTGCTGATAGGGGTGTGAACCCACGCCATACACCAGGGGGCAACAAACTGGTTTTCCAAGTGGGCGAACAACTGAGAGAAAGCCGAGCATGGGTCCGATAACAATTTTGTTCAATACAATACCCTAGGGATGAGCTAGAAAATAATATGGATAATCTAGAAAAATAGTGGGGAATATTCGGAAAGAGCTAGAAAATATTAGGGATGATCTAGAAAATATTAGCGATGCATTGGAAAATATTAGGGATGAGTTATAAAAACATTGGGGATGAGCTAGAAAACAATAAGAATAATCTAGAAAATATTGGAGATGACCTACAAAAAATTACGAACGAGCTAGAAACTACTGGGGATGAGCTACAAAATAGGGATGAGGAAAAAAATACTGGGGATGAGTTACAAAATATTAGGGACCAGCAAGAAAATAATAGGGATAATCTAGAAAATACTGGGGTGAAGCTAAAAACTAGTAAGGAATATTTGAAATGAGCTAGAAAATATTAGGGATGATCTAGAAAATATTAGGGATAATCTAGAAAATACTGGGGATAGGCTAAAAAATAGTGGGAAATATTCGGAATGAGGTGGAAAATATTAAGAATTAGCTAGAGAAGACTGGGGACGAGCTACAAAATAATAAGAATAATCTAGAAAATACTGGGGATGAGCTAGGAAATATTACAAAAGAGCTAGAAGCTACTGGGGATGAGCTAGAAAATATATGGGATGGCTAGTAATAATATGGATAATCTACAAAAATACTGGGTATGAGCTAAAAAATAGTGGGAAATATTCTGGATGAGCTGTAAAATAAGCTAAAAATTGTAAGGGATCAGCTACAAAATAATAGGGAAAACCTAGAAACTACTAGGAATAGGCTAGAAAATATTAGGGATGACCTAGAAAATAAAAGAGATCATAGAGAAAATACTGGAGATGAGCAAAAAAATAGTGGGGAATATTCGGAATGAGCTAGAAAATATTAGGCATAAGCTAGAAAATATTCGGGATGAGTTAGAAAATATTCGGAATAAGCTAGAAAATACTGAAAACAAGGTGGACAATATTAGGGATGACCTAGTCAATACTGGGGTTGAGCTAAAATTTAAAAAAACCCACTAGGGATGAGCTAGAAAATAACAGGGACAATCTAGAAAATAGTGGGGATGAGCTAGGAAATAGTGAGCAATGTTCTGAATGAGCTATAAAATACTGGGAATCACCTAAAAAATGGGGAAAACAGGGATGAGCTAAAACATACTGGGAATCACCTAAAAAATGTTGGGGGTGAGCTAGATAATAATACGAATATTAAAGAAAATACTGGCACGAACTTAAATATTATGAATGAGCTAGAATCAATTGGGGATGAGCTACAGATGATAGGGAAAACACTGGGGGATAAGCTAAAAAAATATTGGGGAATATTCTGGGTTATCTAGATAATATAAGGAATGAGCTAGAAAATACTGGGGATGAGCTAGAAAACACTGGGCATGAACTGAAAAAATAATGGGGAAGATTCTTGATGAGCTAAAAAATATTAGAGGTAACCTAGAAAATAATAGCGATAATCTAGGAAATACTGGGGATGAGCTGGAAAATATTCTGTAAAAATATTGGGGATAAGCCAGAAAATAATAAGAATAACCTAGAAAACACTGGAGATGAGCTAAAAGAGATAACGAATGAGCTAGAAACTACTGTGGATGAGCTAGAAAATATTAGGGAAGGCTAGAAATAATAGGATTAATCTAGAAAATACTAGGGATGAGCTAAAAAATAATGGGGAATATTCTGGATGATCTAGAACATATAAGGGATGACTTGGAAAATACTGGGGATGAGCTATAAAATATTAGGGATGGGCTAGAAAATATCAGGGATGAGCTAGAAAATACTGTGGACGAGCTAGAAAATAATAGGGATCATCAAGAAAATACTGTGGATGAGCTAAAAAATAGTGGGGAATATTCGCAATGAGCTAGAAATTATTAGGGATGAGCTAGAAAATACTGGGGACGAGCTGGAAAATATTAGGGATGACCTAGAATATAATAGGGATAATCTAGAAAAAACTGTGGATGGGCCAGAAAATATTAGGGATGAGCTAGAAAATACTGGAGATGAGCTAGAAAATATTAGGGATAAGATATAAAATAAAAGGGATCATCTAGAAAATTCTGGGGATGAGCTGGAAAATAGTGGGGAATATTCGGGATGAGCTAGACATGAGGGTTTTTTCCGATCCACACAGATCCACTGAGGTATCCACATCTCTTTATCTGCTTCATCCTTCGTCCAGTCAAATCTACTGACAGATCCTGTTGATGACTATCTCTGATGTCCCCTTCTACATGGTAGTGTCGTGAATGTTCTCCGGACAGATAGCTGAACATTTCTGTCAGGTTCTGACGTTCAGAAGACATCTGTCCGTGGAAAGAAAGAAAGAGAGAAAATGTTTTTGTAAGGATTGCAACAACCGGTCATCACGTCGTACATAAAATAACACGTGTAAAATAAAAACTTTTGATTCATTATGAAGTGATGCAGGACTTACAGGCTTCAGATTTCCAAGAACTACAACATTTATGGATCCATGTGACAAGGGCTATAACTCAAGGACAGTACGACTAAAACTGAAAGCCTGACTGGCACAACATAAAATATTTGTTACCAGATAATTAAAACTAGAAGTATCTCATTGCTGCGTGGATTAAAAATGGGAAAAGAATTTATCCAAATTTTTCAACAGCTCCGAGATACCATAAGATCTTACTGATGTCATATACAAATGGCATCATTATCTGCCAGAATTGTTCCTTGTTGAATAAAAAAAGTCATTTGAAGTTCAAGAACAGATTGTAATCTCTACCAATGAATAAAGTGCTGAATCTACAAGAGCCTGGGGTACCCGAGAAATCACAAAGTACAGTGGAAATTGTCCAAGACAGCCATCCATTATTGAGGAGAAAAGTGATTGTTTTAGACAGGTGGTTGTCTTGGACAGTGTTAGAATAAAAATCACATTATTATGGTCAAGGGGAATTAACTGAATTTATTATTAATAGTATGTATTATCTTTTTGTATGATTATTCTTAGTTATTTCTCTTGATGATATTAGTACCCTCTTCCTTGTTGAAAACTTAATTCTTCTTTATTATTGTTTTGGTGAACTTCCACTCACCACTCTTGTGTGGCATGTGATATGTGTCCTGAGCAAGTCAGTTGTAATAAATCCTCTCATCAAAGAACATTGAGTTGAAACATATGTTTTTCCTCCATGTGAAATGGCAGCCTCAATAGACAGGTGTTATTATAATTCAGGAAAACACAAAGGGGAAGTGGGAAGTGGCTGTTTGTACAGGTGATTGTCTTAGACAGGCGGCCATTAAGGCAGGTTCAACTATAGTTGTAATTTGAAACTTGCAAATTCAAACAAAAAATGTACACCGATGATATTTACCAAAGACATTTTTTTGACATTCTCACCTATCACCGTTTTCTTCCCACACACAGGTAGAGAGGAGCGGTCAGAGAGATACTGACTCCATATTGGCACTGGCTTGACCGGCTTCAGACCACAGGGATCGTCTCTCACATACGGCAGGGAACACTGCTGGGGATGACAAATGACAAACCTCTTCTTTTCTTTCTTTCTCTCAACAAATTCACATCTGCTTAATTTTTTATTTAGCCTATGCTATAGATAAATATGAAAATGATAATAATACAAATAATAATTATAATGATAATACTGGTACTAATAATAATACAAATAATAAAATTAATAGAACTACTAATAATACTACTAATAAAATTAATAATACTAATTATATTACAAATAATAATACGCCTACTTAATAATAATAATATACACTCTATAACACGGATAGGTTGAACACAGAAGACTAGAAATCACGCATCCGTAGAACTGTGCCTGCGGTCCCATTTTTTTCTTTTTCTTATCTTTGTAAGATATCCCTGGAACTACGGATCCCTGGAACTACCGAGGCCGGTCCTGACGAATTCCAGCTATCTGTGTTATACTGTAATAATAATAATAATAATAACAATAAAAACCGTTCATCCGTCCATGTTTGACGATGATCAGTGCATCTGCAGAAGGAATGTCCTTCATGTCATAGCGGCACTGTTACAATCTTACAATCTTTTCTTCCATGACTGGATTGATAAAGATTTACATTTCTACTGTTAGAAATTGTTGGGAAGAAGTATTTGGTTTTAAAAAATTCCCAACTTCAAGGAGAAAGCTGAGAGTTGCATACCTCGGAAGGGGATAAGACAAATGACGCTAGTACGAATAACTCTGCACTATAGCTTGTTCACTTTCGTATGACCACATCAAAAAAATTCTACCTCATCTATTAATTTACTTATGCCCACGAAAAGTTGCACAGCATTTCTGCAGGTTAGCGACCAAACAAAAATGTTTTTTTTTAATCGTGACCCCTTAATTCATTTTTTTTTTCAAATTTCTTTTTTGGCCCTATATTAAAAACCGTTCCTTGGATGCATACACAGGATCATTAAAATAAATGACTTATAGTAGCCTTGCCCACAAATTGCTCATTTTGTGACAGCGACACCACCCTGCCCCCATGTTCCAGCGTAAGCTTGTCGATTACATACCCCAGCTGTGTAGACGTCTCCACGCGAGTCCTCGAAAATTACTCACCCCATTCTGTAGAATCGTGTTTCTTAGGTGAATGGTTGAGTGTAGTGTTGAGGAATAAGTGTCAACTTTTAAATGTTTTAGGTGTATGCTGTAAATCCCCAATTTTCCCCCCCGCTTTAGGCTTACATCAAAGAAAACATGTCCCGTAGGTGTTAAAAAAGTCATTTCCGCAATGATGCTTTATCAAAAATTATTTTTAAAAACAAAACAAAAAAACAAGTGTAGCTTTTTTGACACACATTCTGTCACAATGATAGGTCTCAAATACCTCGCCATTACCTGAATGATTGATGCAAAAACAGGCAGAGGCCAAGACCAACATGTTGAAAAAATCTTTACTTCTAGGAAATTGTCCTAAAATGTATCCCTCTCAACCTGGGTTGGTCCTGAAAACCTGACTGACCTAAAAAGTGTTGATGAGGGTGTAAAACATTTACAATCATTACAATCAATCATTAATTTGTCAGAGAGAAATGTTGACTTGACCACAAGACAAAACTTGGACTTACTGTTTGCTGTCCACTGTGTTATCTAGCGAGCCGATGGCGCCACAGAGCTTAGACCTTGCCTGGATCCGAATCATCAAGATGTCTTTGTCGGTGAAAGCTTCATATTTTATGGTCAGGGGAGAGAACTATGGCTGTATCTCAAGTAAGGGCGAGATTTCTATGGCACTCAGGCACAGACGACTGTTGGGATCTGAAACAAAATGAAAAAGAAACAAATACGTAGAAACATAATTCTAAATGATGCAAACAGAGGATCTTGAAAAAGCTCAAGATAAAGAACTGTTTATTTATAGATTTAATTAGATCACAAAGCTCACTTATTTTGGCTCACAAAAACACAGAATCTCTGGATAAAATTGTTATCCACAAAAAGGTGTCAGAAAACAGAGGAAGGGGAAGACCAAGAAAAAGACGGGAACAGCTAGAGCATCAATGACTTGATTGGAGCAAATATCAGCCCAGCAGAAAGAGAAACACAAATAGTGGTGGCAAAGGGAAACCAAGAGGGAAATGGGAAAATCACTTTCTGAAGCAAGGAGCATTTTCTGAATCTGTAACTTTCCACTCTGTCCAATTTTCACCTTCTTTAAGCTCTATCTGTTTTTAGTTGTGCGAAATCTTCAAGATAACAAGCTTACAAAAGACAAAACTTTAAAAAATTGACATGAAAATTTCTAATTTATTGAGTGAGAACCTAAATATATAAGTTATCTAAATTAACATTTTAAAACATCATTTTGATATTATCTTAAAAAAATTTTTTTACCATTGGTTGGAAATTTATTATTTTCCGCCTGGTGCTCGATATTGAACAGGGTGACATATCAGTGGCTTTCTAAGGCCACCAAATGTACGTTTAAAATCATTGTGGAACGCTACCAAAGATTGTGTATATAGAGAACCTTTGACGTTACCAGCTAAAACTCGTTCACAAGGTGGCCTGATAGAATAGACAGAATCTGCGGCAAAGAACAGAACCATGAGAGCACAGACGTCGGTAATGTATGGAATGAGTCAACATAGGTGTAGAGGGAGACGATAAAGAAAAGTCGACCACTGGACCACTGTGTTGAAGGGCGGCCGGGACAAGAACATTGTGTGAGTGGTCACAGATGAGAAGAGGGACACAACATATTAAAGGGACATAAAAAATATTACATCAATCCTGATAGAAATAATTTTATGGATTACATCCCTTTAACCTTTTCCTAATGGCACAAAAAGAAATTTCACTTCCTTACCACGCCTGTTGTGCAAGTTTTCAGAAACACCCTCACCTCCAGTGGCTGGGCCAGCAGGAATTCTGTTTTAACGGGAGGAGCTACCCCTGAGGACCATTTTCTATGTTTGTTGCCCGAGATCAAATCTAAGTACACATATAAGTAAGACATAGTAAAATCTCTTGATACGCAATTTCATTTTGACATAGCTAAAGCGGTTGCTATGGAAACGGCCGCCATCTTGAAAATAAACAATGGATTTCAAATCCCTAAGGCTTTCTTATTTACAGACTAAATTTGACCAAATGTGGGGAGAGTATACCTGAACCAGACCCTATCAGTGTAACAGCTCGTTTTTTTCAATAAGTGCAAAAGAAAAATAAATATGAGAATTTTCCCAAAGTATAAAAAAACTTTTTAAAAATTTAGGTTGCGTAATTGCTTGCCAATGGAAAAGTATTAATTTTTTTGCAAATGTCTCTCTGTTACATTGATGGCAGCCGTGCCAACAATGTTTCCTGAAAGTTTCATGTCAAAAGGATGAAAACTAAGGAAGGAATAGGGAAAAAACTGCACAAAAATTATATTTTTTGAAGACCGACAATAATTATGAAAATTCACTATATTAATCCATCCTCATGTTTTTAAAGGCAATTTACCTGGAGAATAAACTCTTTCTCAATTGTATCCATGCTATTTTTAGACAAAAAACAGGTTTATCTTAAAAAATCAGCCAATATAAAATGTGCATAGCCTGACCTAAAATCTGCAAAATCAAGGGTCGCTCCTCCCCTTAAGAAAGAACAAAAATTGCAAAAAGAAGGATGATTTAAAGGACACACACATCACAGTCACAAGCCACAACTCTCCATTTACAAAGCTGCCAACTTTTCAAAACAAGAAACAGACTCTACCCACAAGTGGGTCAAGATGGTGGCCACTGGCCAAGTAACCCCCCTCCAAACCTTCTACATACATTTTGATGTATTCAATAAATTCACAGTCAACAGCTCGCTATGGTAACAGACACAACTACAATCTATCTATTGTCTTTGTTCTCATTATTTTCTTTACACACAAACACACGCACATACAGTTCATAAACACACATACAGTTCATATACACACATACAGTTCATATACACACAGTTCATACACACACACTATGATTAAGTACACACACACAAACACACACTAAACAAGAACAAGACCATGGTTTACTTTGGAATGTTCAACTCAGAAAAAGATGATGTTTTACGTAGAAAGCTTCTCTCCATAGCAACAGCCAGTTGCTCCACCGGTGTGAGGGACCAGTTTTGGTGCTCTTTCAAGCCACTTTCAGCACAGGTAGAAAGTACAGATGGAAACAGCTGGGGACAGAGAATGCAATTTCCTCACATCAGAAATAATCAAAAGTATGCTCCTAATTTTATCCATTTTCGAGAGACATCCGTCTGGAGTCAACTTTCTCAATGATTAGCCCTAAAAGGCATGATTCTGTTTCAAATAACATCTTATAGGTAGACAGTTTAGAACGTCCCTCGCCATCAGCATAACGGCTTCAAAAATAGCTCTCTGTACTTTGTCATTCGTAGTGATGAGACTTCAGTGTGTAAGACAACATTGATAACTTTGAGGTCATGAGAATATCATTGTCTAATCGACTTATTACACATTGGATTCATTATATAGAAAATATTGGTCACCTCCTTCTTCTACGCCTCCCACTTGTGTGAATATTATTACGTTTTGAAACATATGCCCTTGACTCTGGAAAATGAAGGGCAATTTATTTCACCGTATAATATGCGTTACAAATTTGAGTGAATATCATAAATCCTATAATTATAACCAGCATTTCATTCATCACAAAAAAAGTATACAGTGGAGTCCGTCTCAACTGAAACCTGCGGAACTGCCATATTGTCTTCGATTCAGCCTGGTATCTGGTTTACAGAGGTTGCTTCAACTGAAGAAAAATATCAGAGACATTATTTTATTTTGGATTATCGCCGTGTTCAGAAGAATTGTGTTTGGTTTCTGCAGACTCCACTGTATTTTGTCTTCTTTTTCCTCTATGTCTCGCAAAGTCTGTTGTTTCAGTAAAAATTCTGGAAAATGAAGGGCAATTTATTTTTCTGCATGTGTTACAAATTTGAGGGAATATCATAAATCCTATAATTATAACTAGCATTTCATTCATCACAAAAAAAGTACACAGTGGAATCCGTCTAAATTGAAACCTGCGAGACTGCCATATTGTCTTTGTTGGTTCAGCCTGGTATCTGGTTTACAGAGGTTGCTTCAACTGAAGAAAACATAGAGACATTATTTTATGTTGGTTTACTGCCATATGATCATCGGATGAACCGTGTTTGGTTTCAGCAGACTCCACTGTAGTTTGTCTTCTTTTCCCTCTATGTCTCGCTAAAGTCTGTTGTTTCAGCAAAAATTCTGCTCCCCGGTTCCTCACCCTCCTCCAGTTTCTGGTCGACCTTTGCTCTCTCCTCATGTCCAGGAGATAGACCAGGTCTCTGTCACTGAGGCACACACGTTTGTCTTGTGAGCAAATATCTCCCCACTGTAATGAAACAATAAAAACCATGTCATAAAGATAAATATTAGGTAACCATCATCAGGTTTGTTTACTGCATAAATCTATTTCAATATATTTAACACACTTTAATCTAGCATCATTATTCATTATTGCAATAGAGAGATAGTAAGGGTGTTTAAAAAAAGAGGGCCCATTTAAAGGGCTGTTTAACTAGAAAATCTAGAGTGGTGTAGCCCCTGCGCGTGCGCCTTCTCGGTGCGTGCACTTTTGTTTTCCTTTGTTTTTAGCCTCAAATTGCGTTTTTGCGTTTGATTGAATGCGTCAGTGTGTGCAGCAGCCATTTTTGTTTACTTCCATCACTCGTTTGCCGACAAGGGATCATCGAGAGTGTTTTTATCAGCTGTGGCAAGTTGACATTCAACGCTGACCTGTGAACTAGTTTTTATGACCTATTTGCCTCTGATTGGTTCAAATAGACTGTGCGCGCCCCCTAGCTTAAAAAATGTGCCTACTCCTTCCTTGAGTGTTTCACGTGACCTTTTATCGAGTTCTATGCCAAGTTGTAATGCGGGTTTCGGGATCGGGGGGGGTGCACGCGTAGTGAAGACTGAAAAAACTCGAGTTTTCTCTGCGCGTGCACAATGAAATATATAGTAGAATACTAAGAAAAAAAGTAGACTCAATTTTAGAGATTATTTGGTTGCAGTTTGAAGAATGTCATGGATGGTGGCATGTGGACTGTGTGAAAGATGGAAAGATCAGAGGAATGAGTGATGAAGAGTAGGAAAATGTGGATTTTAGTTGTGAAAAATTCTGTTTGATTTTTTTTCACTATGTATTTGAACTATTTATACCCCCTAAATTAAATTAGTTTAGATTCTAATTAAAATTGCCTTACTTTGCTTCTGAAGTGACTTGTTATCTTCCTGTGTGGTCATTTAATGCAATAATGTTATCAGATTCCTCTTCTTTTGGCTTTCAACGTGTATATATGGGTGCACGCTCAGTGAAGAATCCCATGCACGCACTGAGAAGAAATGCACGCTCAGTGAAGACAACACCCTAGGTTGGAAAAATTGTTGGGCACACAACGTTTAAGAAATCTGGCGACTATGAGCAAGACCATTTTATAGGTCAATAGTTTCTTGAATGGAATAGCTAAAAACGAAAGTACAAAGCCGGAAATGGCGGAAAATACGTTCAACGATCGCGAAGTGCGCGCGTACCGGCGACACCACTCTAGGTCATCTTTCGATCAGTTTTTTTTTTAAAACTTTGAAAAAACTAGAGATTAGATTCTAGATCTAAATTTAACCACGGGTACGTTACATATGTCAACATGAAAGAAGAATCAACGAAATTTTCGAAAAACAACAAGTTTAAATTTAAACAATTTGAACCGAAATTTAGTGAAGCGCAAAACTATGCAACTTCTAAACAAATCAATTCAATTGTTCCATTTCAAATTTGAATGGTGAAGAACAAAATTAAATACAAAATTGAAATTACCAACAAAACTCAGAGAGGTGATGGCCATTGAAATCTCCAAGTGTTGACCATTTCGTTCCCTGCAAGCTCCAATAATATAATATAGATTTAGATTCTATATGCTAATCTACTGGAAATTTGGAATAACCCCATGGCATGTTTCTGGGTGGATTCTTCGGACGTCGCATTCAGCATGGAGTTTCAACTGTTGAAGATCTAGAATCTAGATCTAGATCTAGATCTAGATCTAGTTGCCAATCGTATTGATAAAGAAAATAGATCTAGATCTAGATTCTACTTACGCTCATTCAGAGGACACAATTTTACAGGCGGGAACTAAGTTTTTTTCTGCCACCTGCTACTGAACAAAAATAAACGGTAATTAACTCCCTTTGAGAGACCAACAATGTCATTAAAAACTTCCGGTTTACTTTGAAATACAAAAGCTGGATTTGTTTGTATCGTTTCGCTAAAAGCACGTGGATTATTAAAGCAGTAAATTATTGTGCCTAAAATATTATTTTGAAAAAATAAATGACTTGTAAAATTGTTTTGCATTGGGAATAACCTTCTTCTATCTGTATAACATGATAAGTTATTTTTTAGAGAATATAATTTTTTTCGTGCGTATTTCCGGCATAAGCAAAGAGGTTATATTAATTAGTACTAGAGTTCGCAGAAGTGATGTCACCCTTGTAAACGAAAGGGATGTCCATTCTGGGACAACCTGTAATGCCAAAGAGGATGAGAACCCCCTCCCCCCCCCCCTCCCCCCCACCCATGCCTGACACCTATGACGTCACACTGTGAGCTCTGGTATTAGCCTATATAGCCTCTTTGGGCAATAGTTAAAGGGAAGATAACCCTAAAAATGCACCCCCTTTCAGTAATTTTTACGGTTATCTTCCTTTGACCGTATCTTGAATATTACTTCAGACATAATTTTCCTCACTCAGAACTATTTTGATGTGCCAGATGGATAGAGCTCGCTTTTCTTAGAATTTTGATATCAAAATCATCAATATTGCTTAATTTTTCAGGCAGTTACAGATGTTCAAATTTGGATAACAGTATTATGTTGTGGCCTGTTAAAAGAGGGCGGCCATTTTGGCGAAATCACTGTTTAGCAATACCCGGGTTGTCATTTAAAATCATCATCATAGGCTATATTACCTCAGTGTCAGTGACTAGATTATCTACCTGCTGATCCAGAACAAGATGTTTTGGAAATTCTAGTTCTAGATATATAGACCTAGACTAGGGGCCATGTTGGAGACCAAGGTAAAATAGTAAAGGACGTTTTACCGTTTTAGTTTTTTGGCAGTTTTACAAGCTTCAGACGTCCTTTTTCAATATTTTCATCACCTTCACGTTTTTTCTGACTGTCCTTTGGCTTAGATCTAGATCTATATCGAGATTATAGATCTAATGTCTAGAATCTATATCTAGAAATCTAAACATTCAAACACCCAAACATTCTCTCTCTCTCTCTCTCTCTCTCTCTCTCTCTCTCTCTCTCTCTCTCTCTCTCCCCCCCCCCCCGGCCGACCAACAAACCCTTAAGCCAAACCCAAAAATGAATTCTAACCCTAGGCTCCCAAACTTGAAACCTTACCCTAACCTTAATCCTAACCCTAGATCTAACCCTAACTCTTGTGTATAGGCCTAGTTTGCTCAGTGGACCTTGTCATGGTTAGTGCCGGCACTCTGCGGAAATTCTCCCTGAAAAATGTAGCTTTCTGGGATCTAGGTCTAGATTCTAGATCTAGAATCTAGGTATCTACAAAAAATTAGGACCCCATTAAATGGCAATACGGTCATCTGTGCTTTAATTTTGATAAAACTTCAGACAAATAGAATTCTGAGGCTCTCATGGTCTAAAGGTTAAGGTGTTCTCCTCTCATTCAATAGATCCCACGTTCGAAACCTGACAGCGACAGAAATTTAAAGTTTTCTTTTCTAAAATTTTCTCCTTTCACCTCCTTAAATGATCTCTATCCTTGTCGTTTGATTTCGTCTTCACTTTTTGTCCCCCCCCCCTCCCCTCCCCCCCTTCCCCCTCCTCTGGGCTCCTGACTCTTTCTGTTGCCTTTCTACTTCTTTGCTCCTTCCTACTGCTGTCTTTCAGCCCCACCCCTGATCTAATGTCTTTTGGTTTGTAAGATCTAACACTCAGTCGTCTCTTATAAGGGCGAAAAATCTCGAAGGTCCCGTATTTAAGTTGCACAAATTAAAGATCCCTTGATGATCTAAAATCGATAAGAGTAGGCTTCGACCGCCACCTGGGCAAAGTTCTTAATTAATTCCTATCAAACTGAAAATGTTTTATGTGTCCCACTCGCACATATCAACTTCTGCACTTGCAAATGCCGTAAAACACTTTTATCAATTTATTTATATTTTAAAAAATTCAACTGTAGGGACACCAGATTTGTAATGAAGAAAATCAATCATGGTTTTTCCTATTGACATGATCTGTAACGTACCCTTGGTTGAATTTTTTTTGTTTTTAAAGTTTTGTTGAAACCAGTCGAAAGATGACCGAGTTAAGCAGCCCTTTAAATGGGCCCTCTTTTTTAGACACCCGTTACTGTCTCTCTCTATTGCAATAATGATGCTAGATTAAAGTGTGTTAAATTATTGAAATAGATTTAAACAAACCAGATAAATTGTTGTTATCAATTCTATCATTCTCTGTTACTTGTCCTGTGATGTTCTATAGCCTCCATCTATTGCAAACCCAAGTTATTTGCTAAGTTTTTTTTATCGTCCCGAGTTTTTGTCTAATGATGTTCTTCTTATAGCCTCCACCTACTGTTATAAAAACTGATGTTATTTGCCAAAGTTTAATGTTATCTTTTCCTTCGTCCTTAGTTCATTGTCTAATGATGATCTTATACTTATACTATTATTGATAAAAACTCAAGTTATTTGCCAAAGTGTAATGTTATCTTTTCTATCGTCCCCAGTTCTTTGTCTAATGATGATCTTATACTTATACTATTATTGATAAAAACTCAAGTTATTTGCCAAAGTGTAATGTTATCTTTTCTATCGTCCCCAGTTCTTTGTCTAATGATGATCTTATACTTATACTATTATTGATAAAAACTCA